TAAAAAAAAAAAAAAGGCACGCCATCTGCTTCCAATCAGGTTCTCTCTGCTGCTCTAAAACCCCTTATTAACTGTTCTGCATTCGCTATCGCTCTGCAAGTGCCTTCCTTCCTTCTCTGCCTTATTTAACTTCTCAAACCCTCAGCTACTCTCAACTGCAATTTCATGAGATTAAATGTGATAATTCAGGTAGAGCAGGTACCATAGTAACCAGGCACAGGAAGGTTCTAAATAAACACTTGCTGTTGTTATTATTAATACTGAATGAGCGGCAAAATGTGTTGGTTAAAAAGCTCAGGCTTTGGTCCTGGCTCAGTGATTAGAGCGTTGGCCCTTGGACTGGGGTTTGATTCCCAGCCAAGGGCATGTACCTGGGTCACAGGTTCCCTGTCCCTGGTCCGGGCGCAGGTGGGGGGCAACCAATCCCTGTGTCTCTCTCACGTTGATGTTTTTCTGCCAATTACTAGTTAATGGGCAGGCTGCTAAATCTCCCTGAGTCTTAGTTTTCTCATCTTTAAAATTGAAACAATATTAGTACTTTACAGAGATTGAGTGAGAATTAAATGGAAGTATGTATGCAAGACCATGAGGAAAGTCTGCCACATGAGTATTCAACGTTAGCCACCAGGACTAGGGATTATTTTTGTTATTACAACATCCACTTATTACTTTTTTTGAGAAAATCATCATCTCCCCGTGAGACACCACAGTTTTTAGTGTCCTCACCTCAATTTCTTCACAACCTCCTTTTCTTTGTTCATTTTTATTTATTGATTTTAGAGAGAGAAAGGAAGGGAGGGAGAGAGAGAAACAGCGATTTATTGCTCGGCTTAGTTACACATTCATTGGTTGGTTCTTGTCTGTGCCCTGACCGGGGATCGAATCCGCAACCTTGGCCTATCGGGATGACGCTCTAACCAACTGAGCCACCCGGCAAGGGTACAACCTCCTATTCTTTACAACAAATATTTGAGAGCCCCACTATATGTGGGGTACTGTTTTAGGTGCTGGGGATACTGTAGACTTGGAGCAGGAGAAGCCATCGTCTCTAAGATTGATGCCTCCATCTCCACCTTGGATCCTTGCCCTTCCTAATTATGGAGGGGTTTTCTTGCAACCTTTCTGCTTCCCTCATGAAGTATCTTAACCGTGCCCCTCTTCACTGGCTCCTTCCCCTTTGCTTTAAAGTGGCTTCAAGTTTTCCCAAATGTTTCTGCTTCACCCTTCTAGCTAATTTAATTAAAATTTTATTTCACTCCTTTTTATTTTCAAACCTCTGCAATACATGGCCTCTCATCCGCATTTCCTCATGATACAGTCCCTTCGCAGTTGTCTGTCACCTTGTTTCCGCCCTCACCACTTATTGAAACCACTTGCTCCGTGGTCTGCAGTGAACTCCTTGACACATCTGAAGAAAGCCTCTCGGCCCCTTTCCTTGTCCTGTTTTCAGCATTTGACACTACTGGCTCTCTCCTACATATTATCTCTTTGTTTTTCATTTCCATTGATTGCAAACAATTGAAAATGCAGGAAAGGACAGGAAATAACGTAACCAATACGTGTAGGTAGTAATCACTCAATCCTATCAAATCTTGCAACATCCACTTTCAGATTGTGTTTAAAAAAATAAATATTATAGATACTGTATAGGTGATATTCCCAGTATGATCCTCTCCAGTCTCAGGACTCTTCCCTCTTTTGTATTTGGTGATGATTATGCCCTTTCATTTTTTTTTTATTGATGAGAGGGAGAGAGAGTCATCAATTTGTTGTTCCACTTATTTGTGCATCATTGGTTGATTCCTGTATGTGCCCTGACCAGGGATCAAACCCGCAACCTTGGCATATGGGGACGACTCTAACCCACTGAGCTACCCAGCTGGGACCAACTCTTTCATGTTTTATTTAATTTTACTATTATATCTATAAGCAACATGCTATATTTTCAGACTTCATATAAATGGTATACCGTACATGTTTTGTGATTTTCTCTTTTTGCTCAACACTATTTTTTTAGATCTAACTCTGTTAATACATATAGTTTGTTATTCATTTTAATTTTAGAATAATAATCAGCTTCATGAATACTCTGATTTACTTATCCATTCACCTACTGATGGACATTTAATTTCCTTCCATTTTTTTTTCTGAGATTGCAAATAATTCTGCAATGAACATTCTTTTACATGCCTCCTTGTGCACAAAGTGTAGAATTTTGCCCAGGTCTATAGCTGGAAATGGCATTTCTGGGTTGAAGTGTGTTACGTAAACAATTTTATTATATCATGTAAAATTCCTTTTCATAGCAGTTCTATGAACTTATACTCCTTCTCACAGTCACCAGAGTTCTATCTGTTCTACATCTTCAACAACACTTGGTGTTGTCTGAATTTTAATTTTTGCCAAACCAATGGTTGTGAAATGGTATCTCATGGTTTTAGTTTTCAGTTTTCCTGAAGAGTAATGAAGGGAAGCATCCTTTCATGTCTTTATTGGCCACTTGGATTTCCTTGTATATATTTCTTACATATTCTAGATATTCATTAATTCATTTAATCTATGTTTTTCTAGCATCTACTTCATTACAGGAACTGTTCTAGACACTGGGAATGAAGCAATGAACAAAAGAGGCAAAAATGCTTGCTCTCATGGAACTTACATTCTAGTGGGAGAAGGGAAACAATAAACAAAATTAATAAGTAAAATAGAATAATGGATAAGTGATAAATCCTCTGGAGGAATATAACCAGGGAAGAGGGAAAGGGAGAATGTGTGCATGGGATAGGAAAAAGAGATCGTTGAACTGCAATTTTAAAATTGTCTAGGAAAGCCTCACTGAGAAAGTGACATTTGAGCAAAGACCTAAAGGGAGTAAAAGTGCAGGCAGGGTAAACAGCAAGTGCAAAGGCCCTGAGACAAGATTGTGCCTGCTAAGTCCTAGGAATAGCAAGGAGCAGTGTGTCTAAGCTGAGTGAGCTGAAGAGAATTGTGGAAGAGGAAGTCTTAAAGGTGATAACAGCTGGAAATGGAGAACAAAGGTTATCCTTTGTCAGTTATATGTATTGAAAACATCTTCTCCCAGTCCATGGCTTGGCTTTTAACATGTTTATGTTGTCTTGGAATGCATATATTTTGAAGCGTAATATAGTTAAATTTGTCAACCAATTCCCCTATTGTTTGTGCTTTTTAATATCTTAAGTAATCATTTTTATTTCACTATTCCAAGGTTGTAAAGATGTTCTGTTTTCTTCTGAAGGTTTTAAAGATCTGCTTTTCACATTGAGATCTTTAATCTACCTGGAGTTGCCCCCCCCCCCCC